AACCGAGAGCTGAGAGATATTTGCGGTTTAGTGACAGGTTGTATCCGTCCGGAAACATTGGATCGCCTGAATGTGAACGACGGGGGTGGGCAATATGATTCGAGCGGTGGTGCTGGCGGGCAGGGCAACCCTGCTGGTAGCGTGTGTTTGGGGTAAGTCAAATATTGTTCCTTTCGACACGAGTACCACAACGCTAACTGGTGCTCAATGCTCAATCAGTTACAACCACTACGTCGAGTTAGTTGAACCGGCGGACCGACGTGCTTGTATCAAATGCTGTGACAATTACGACGATTGTCCCTTAGATCGAGGTGTGTTGAGGTTTCGAGAATCGTGGATTGGATTTTTGCTGACTTTTGTGTGTAGATACGTCTGGATGTCCTTCAGTCATCAGCGGGAACTACTTCAACTGCGCGTAGTAGGGTTGATATCTGCTTTCTTCCAGACATTGGACTTCTTGGACGGCTAGTAGGCTTGAATGTATTAGGACAGATAATTAGTGTTTCATGTGCAGCTTAAAAGCTCTAGTGTGCCTTGTAGAAAACGGTCTATGTTATCTACTGCTGATGAAATCCACTACCAGCTTTTTAAACTCGTTTGGCTTTTCCGCGTGAACTGTAGACATGGTAAGAATATGGTGGAATAATGATGATGTGACCCTTACCCCAATGCCCGGCATCAAGGGTTTCAAATCTAGATTGAGGGAAAAACGCCTTGAAGGCTTCAGTGTAGTCTAGGATCTTGTATTCGCTTGTGCCTCCAGCAATGACTAGCGTAGGACCGTCCCATTGAGGCCTACCTGACAACTGATAGTCGTAAGGGAATTCTGCTAGTGATGGGATTGCCTCCTTTAGTATGTCGAGGGGTATCAAGAACTTGGCTCTGTCCCGCGGTTCAGCAGTGCGAGAGTGCCTTGGAAGCAGGAGATTGGTGAGCAGGAATCGACGAATAGCAGGGTCCTAAGAAAGAAGGACAAGATAGATGAAAATATGCTTGTGGAGATCCAACACCTATAGTCACCTGCTCAAACGGATCCAGTACGCGATCGGCGTCTTGGAGCGTTTTGATCATCCCATGAGGCATGGCATTGATATCCTGCATTGCAGACACATACTGAGTTAGTCGGTTCGAGAGGTCAAGTTTGGCCGGGGCCAAATCTGCCACGATAAGGCGCGAGATAGTATCCGAGTTGGTCGCATCCTTTGACAAAGACAGGGCGACGGTCATGGCAACTTTTGCACCCCTGCAGGTAATGATTTCATGTCCAGAGTCAAAGGCAAGTAAGGCATTCTCCGTACATAGAATGGCCCAGTAGTGATACGTTTCGAAGTCCGTTTGACGATAGAAAGTGCTTCACATCTTCTGCCATGGCTGCATATGTCATGGGCCTTGCGTGAGGAGAGGACCCATGGTTTCGAAGGTCGAGTGAGTAAACTGCGCGACCTGGCAGGTCGCGGTGAAAGGCTTTGCAAAGAGAATTCCAGTTTCTTTTTGAACCACTAGGATATGCAGCAATTAGTAGAGCATTCCTATATACGACTGGAAAAGGAACACACAATAGCCCATGAAGAATGACCAGTGGCCCTTCTGGTCTTTCCAACACGGCCGATGGACTTGACTTCAGAGCACTGAACGCGAGTTCAACAACGTCCTTGTCTGCAATATTGTGTGACCTTGAATAGAGTCGTGCTGTTTGATTTATTCGCCGAGGCCTAGACAGAAATCTAGACAGTCTGAGCATTGACAATGTGTTGTAAGTAGGTTTGAATAAACACGCCGACGATTTCCCGGTGCCGGTCGCGACGCAGAATAGTTGGACCGTGTGTTCGCACGATTCTCGCTTGTCTTCAATCCACCACCACGATGTCGCGTTCAGGAGCAGCCAGGCTTCGGATCGTGTTTTCTAGGTACCCTGTCAATATCAGACACTGAAAATCCTATAGACGCATTTCAGATCCAGTAATTTGGATCGGTAATTTAGAGGTTCTGGAAATCCTTGACCTCTCCATCAGTTTCGTCGTCTCGTCGACCTGGAGACCGCGTTCCTGTAATACAACGCGATATACAGCCAGCTGAAAATCTATCGGCTTATCTGTTTGCCCTGGTCTCTGGCGCATCGAGCACGAGCAGTGAGCACGGCATGTGTTTCAAGAATTCATTGGAGGCCACAAAATGCTGGTCAACTGGTTGTTATTCCGCATCTTGGCCCGCTCATGGATTCGGTTTTCAAGCAACAATTTCAAGAGAATCTTCCACCCGCTACCGATAGAACTAGTATTTGCAAACATTTCCTCAAAGCTTGTTGCATTTTTCTTCGCCAAACCAGCCGATGGCAGCCCCATTCGACATTCGTTGCCCCTTGTTGTCTCTGTGCCCAGTCTCTTCGCCTGTGATGGAATCAGATTTGGCTTGCAACCAGCTCGCGACTTTCGACAACTGTTCAACCGCGGCCTGCCGTAGACCCTCGCATAACTCATGCAACGAAGACAAATTCCATTTTCTGGGTTGACCAGGAACGAGTATAAAAGCTGGCGCATCACCCCAAGGTGGACCAGAACCTTTTTTACCCCGCTTCTCTCAGTATTCTTTTCTTTGGTTGATCCATATTCTATCGTTGTACCTTCAACGACCACCATCTTTCATTCAACACTTGGCTTTCGACGACTCGACTCCTCAACTCTCTCCCAACCGCACATTCTTTGATTGAATCATTAACATAATGCGTCTTATTCTCTCATTCGTAGGATTGGCCACTATGGTCGCCAGCGCCATGGCTCACACCACCGTCTTCGGTGTGTTCGTAAATGGCGTTGAACAGGGAGATGGTCGGAATGCATACGTGAGTACATATTTGGTTTGAAGAAGCCCTGAACAAATGTGTACGCCACTTTCAGATCCGCTCCCCCACTAGCAATGGTCCTGTTAAGGACTTGAAGTCGGCCGCACTGGCCTGCAACGACAACAATCGAGGTAAAGCAACTCGAGATATTGGCCCAGAGTGACAACTGACCTAAATTTCCAAGTTGTACCCAGAACCGTCGAGGTCCAAACTGGTGACCTGTTAACTTTTGAGTGGTTCCACGATAAGTAGGGTCTGCCTCCCTTTCACTCAAACTTAATTTTGAACGACCTCTCTCTCTCTTCAGTCGTGACGACGACATCATCGATCGCTCTCACAAGGGTCCTGGTACGTTTACGCTCTCTCTCGTCCGGGTGTATCCAGAGTCTGACCTAGCTACGCAATGCAGTCCTCGTGTACATGGCCAACTCCGACGGCAAAGATTGGACCAAGATCTTTGAAGATAACTTCTCTGAAACCTGGGCTGTTGACCGCCTTGTTGATGCCCACGGCCAACACAGCGTCATTATTCCCAACGTTCCTGCTGGTGACTACCTCTTGCGCGGTTAGTACATGGCTCTCTTTGCGTTATATGCCAATCGTCTCATGTCACCAACAGCCGAGATCATTGCCCACCACGAGAGTGACACGCTCTTCACGCAGAACCCCAGCCGTGGTGCTCAACTCTACCCCAGCTGTGTCCAGGTCCGCGTCGTCTCGAACGGCAACAGCCTTCTCCCTGGTGGCGCAGCCTTTCCAGGAGCCTACACAGACGCTGACCCCGGCATCCACTTCAACCTTTACAGCGGTCCTGCTCCCGCCAGCTACAAAGCTCCTGGTCCTGCTGTCTGGTCTGGAGCCTTAGGTGGATCCATTGGCCGTGTTGCTATTCCAGGCCAAGGTGCCATTGCTACCCCACCTGCCATCGTCACCCAGGCCCCTGCCCCTGCCACTTCCGCTGCTGTCTCTCAAGCCCCTACTGTCACTCAAGCCCCTGATGTCCAGCCTTCTCCCACTTCTGTACCGAACAACGGCCTTGCTGGCGTCTATGCTCAGTGTGGTGGAGTGAGTGTCGTGTTGTGATGAGCACAGTTAAATTCTGACATTGCCCTTTCTTTACAGCGTGGATTCAAGTAAGCGTAGTGAAGTGACACACTGAGAACCTTGGTGCTGACCATTGTTCTTTAGCGGACCCTCTGAGTGCGCGACTGGCTCTACTTGCGTCTTCAACAACCGTACGTATCGACCGCCAGCTCCGCTAGTTCGCCTTCAAGCTTAGCTCACTTGCCTTCCTTATAGTCTACTACTCGCAATGCCTGCCTACTGTTCAGAATGTTGCCCCTGTCGCCCCCGTTGTTCCTACCACAACCCAGGCTCAACTTGCGCCCGTTGTCACCCAAGCTCCTGTTGCGGTCGCCGGTGTCCCTCTTTACGGACAATGCGGTGGAGTATGCATTGACCCTCTGTAGGATGTGCAAAGCTTGACTGACGTTCCCCTTCCCTTTTTATTTTGATTCTGCAGCGTGACTTCAATGGATCCACCACTTGCGCCCAGGGTACCTGCAAGGTCTTCAACGGTACGTCCCTAATAGCCTCTGCCAGATCGCCTTAAACCGATACAATTATATTTTCCTACAGAATGGTACTCTCAGTGCCTCTGATCAGCCTGACGAACCCCATCTTCCCCGCCACCCAAATGATTCAATTCAAGGAATTACATTCAAACGTTTGATGTATTCGGCTTGCCGGATTTTCATTCTCTGTCGTGTATGCTAATGTTGCGAGCTCGCATTAAGTACGTACGCACATCCTTTTGTTTCCATTACGCTCGGTGAGCGTTGTGGCCTAGAGCCCATTGTTCGAATAGGACCCCAACGTGTTTTGCATCGATCCCGCTACTTATATTAGCATATCGTACCGCTCGTTAACTGATACAATCGTCGTGTTTCCACCAAATTGAATTCCAGGAAGAAAGAAAGGACACTGTGTGTGTTAACGGAGGGTAACGAACAGGAGATCTCACTTCTGCGTTTCAGGGCCTGTCTCACGAGTTAAAAGCCTATATAATTTATAAAGTTCGGGCGGTTGTAACTTGTAAGATGGAGAAAGAATTGGGGATTGCAGAAGAAAAATAAACAATTAAAAAGGTGAAGTAGTAAGTAGCCCACCGCGAGGGTCGAACTCGCAGCCTTCAGATGCACCCGATTCAGGTCTCGTAAGAGTCTGACGCTCTATCCGATTGAGCTAGGCGGGCGCTGTGATGATTTTGTCCCCGCCCTAAGCGACCTGCAGTGCTCACTGGCGACGTTTTAGATCGTTGACTCAGATCCTCAGTTGAAACTAGCGCTCAGACAAGTTGATACCATGTCCTTTGCAATTGTACAGGCGTTATCAGAGTCACTGCACTTAATCGCCTATCCGATTACTGCTTCAGCGCTTTAAACCTGTGGATTTACAGTTTCTATGACTCATGAGCGTAGGGCGCTTCCCGTTCCTCACCCAAATGAACGAGTATTCCAGATTTCTACACTGCTTCCATGCCGCTGTAGCGGCCCTCTTGTTATCAAAGTCTTCCATCTGCATGCATGGCCCTCGGAAACACCTGCAATTGGAATGAAGTGCAAAGAGGGTTCTGACAAAAACGGGGACTCCGGTGGACCGTGGTAGTAAACGGTTAAAGTTCCAACTGAATCATATTATCAATTACCGATCTCCGATCTGAATGGTAGCCCAATTGTCTTGTTCTAGCAAAGAGCTGTGGCATATGAAGGCCGCGGGTTAGCAGAGCCCTTCGATAAACTAGAGGCGAAAGTGATGATCATTTTTCGACGATGAAATTCATCTCCTATAATGACGGAAATTACAGCAGTATTGAGTCCCGAGCCATCGTCAGCGGCAAGCACCACCGGCCTGTCAGGGGAAGAAAAAAAAATAGAAGTTTCAAGTCATAAAAAGGGGAGCTACGACGTTCTTGCTGTACCCCCCCCCCTCTCTCCATCCGTTACAACCTGAGCAGTCCAAAGTCCTAGTCATGTTACTTCCTAACCCGGATTACTCCATCCGTACGGGGGTCTATTGTTTATTGGCTGATTGTTAACCTTCCCGATCACTAGACCCCTGCACAGACATAGTGAACGCCGTTGTGCACCTCATGGGCCAACATCCGGATACTCAAACACAGTGGGACCCCTCTCGCAAATTCTGGAAAGCTCTTGTTTTAGGTCGGTTGTGGAAGATTTAAACCTCTTCCATACCGTGATTAATTCCACACCAGTTCCCCGTTACAATGAAAAGATCCGTGTATTGGAACGACTCCCTATTGGCGAAGGATTCCACTCCGAAAGTGAAGATGAGGCCAGGAACATCGCTGCTCGAAATGCCCTTTCTTTGCTGAAAAGCCAGTATCCGCATCATTTTAATTGAGTCGAACGCACTCGGGAACTCATCCTATCGACCATTTAAGACATGGTATGAGTACGATACGCCTTGTTATACAGGATGAGCAATAAATTCAAAGTTGAAATTAGAGTCGGCGACTACAGTAGAGAAAGGTGACTAGGAAGATAAATAGGCAAAGTAATTGTAATTAAGAGCACAATGAGACGAAAAACGGATGTGAAGTTGAAGGCTGGATGATGGGTTTTATCTGTTTCGTAACTCGCAGTGCCTTCTTTCTCCTGAGGGTGTAAGCTTCGTTCAGTAACAACGGGCGCTTAAAACCTGTCATGGGTCGCACGTCACGGGCTGTGACCTTGCCAGCAGGATAAGCCGCTCCATCTATTCCCATCCTCCACTGCCTTGCTCAATGCGTTGCTCAGGCACACTAATCGCTGTCAATGAAGTCTATTTTAATCCACATTGACATCATCAAGGTGCAAATAATTAGTGAAAGTGGGTGTCACAACAGACAGAAGGTTTAGATATGCGTGTAGAAGATCATGATAGTAAATATGGACGCACGATATATACAAAGTGACGCTAATGGGTGTTCTTAGAACTGATATGTACAGACGGGAAATGGCTCATTATGGGAGTTGGTGGAAGTACGAAGCTCTTGAAAAGTACGTGAGGGTGCGGGTGTCATGGCACAAGGATCAAGTCTGCCTCGGCCCCCCTGCAGTTCGCTCAGGCCTTTTCGAGATGTTGATATGCTGCATCGCGATCGATGAGACAGGCACCATCGAGAGTGGCTCTAAAATTGCGTGTACGTTAGTATGCGCCATTGGCACAGAACCAAAGGGCTTACTGAGACTCCGCTAGTCGGTACTCCTCGGCTTCAGCCAACCAACTGTCTTTCTCAAGCCACCCCTCGTTGAACTCGATGAGAGCAGGCCTTTATTCGGAAGAGACGTTCATGATGGCAGATTAGGTGTTGATGTTGTCCGTCATAAGTAGGGCGGTCAAAAATGCAGAAAGGAGTTGAGGAGATATGTCGCTTGGAGCGGGATGGGAGGGAGGAGAGTTAACAGAAGCATATTTTATACTTACATGACATGCTACAATCCTTTGTCTGCGAGTGATGATGAGAAGGGCATGTCATCGAGCCCAAATATGCGTTGTTGCGGGATCTGGTGCCTTCCATGCTACAATAATATTGAAGTGCAGCTGTTGAGGGATGAATGTGGCCTAAACTTGGAAGGAGAACATCATTCCGTTACTGAAGCGGAAGAGGGGGGACTTTACAGGACTCCCATTTCAAGTTTTCTACGGTTCGCTGAATAGCCTGGTGGCCGCAGAGTCAATGGGTTTTACTAC